AAACCTCTTTATCAAATTACCATTTCAAATTGCAGAGTCTAAAAAAGTAATTTCTAAAAGTAAGGTTTAGAAGGCAATTATTTTGAAACTACGTGCCACAACACGCCCTGTCAGACGAAATTGATCGAAGAGACAATCTGTCTCAAGTATTTTTGTTTTGTTTTGTTTATCTTTGTTTTGTTTTATTTTTTCTTTTTCTCTGTTTATGAGTTCTGGGAGAATATTCACTTAAAGTTAGAAGGGACTTGTAGAATTAATAATAGCAAACTTATTCTGAAATACTTTCTACATGATAAACAGCGACAATAAATCCAACGGTCCGATTGACACTATTGAGGCTGAGTATCACAAAGGAGCTGATAGAGCGTTTTAACGAAACAACAAAATTACTCTAACTTAAATCGCGACAAGGGTATCAAGAGCTCGTTGCTTCTAAACGCGCCTGGCCACTATGATCACAAGATTTGTTTTTTGCACTAAAGGAGGTTCCAAATCTGATTTCAGCTAAATCTTTTTTTTCAGCTGAATGGTCGAGGTCATGATTGTGCCTTGAGTTGGCATAGAACACTATTGTTTCGGCACAATAATGTATGTAAGACGCTGTAATATAGATATTGCACTACATGACTCGCTCTACATAACAAGACAAACACTCAGTGAACAAAAGGAAATGTCTAATACATTTGAAGGAAAACCTGAAAAACGAATGCTCTACACATAATTACTTTGTACATTTTGTCAGAGTATTAAATCTGTAATTAAACCAGGGCAAGTTGGAATTCCGTCTGGTGTTGTGTCAAATGTTATGCCTAGTCAACCGTCCGGAAATTACTCTTTTATTTTCGTGTTGGCAACCGCACCTGAAAGAGGCTAGCAGAACTATAAATCAAACTCGAGGAAGCCCTGACAATGATCTACTAATAAAAAACACTTAGAAAGGTGAAGCCTAAGTGAAGCAGTAAACCACAACACAACTAAAAGCCAAGGTCGATGATGCATAATCCTGAAATAGCACCTTTAACCTCAGACCTTATAATTATGCTCACGCTATCAAGTTGGTGTTTAAGAATGACTTTTCGCCATTTAATAGAGAATTCTCGGCCTAAATTGAGGTACTGGTTTCCGGACACTATTTTGATTAATTAAAAAGGTAGGACCACCTCGAATGACTGCTCTTATACTTGATTTTGTTTGTTGTTGATATTTTAACGACACTCAAAAAGCTGCTTCTATCAAATTGATTTCACTCAATTCTGTTTCTCATTTTCATATATTCTTCTAACTTAAGACAAGTGTCTTTAATCTGACTTTAGGTCAAGAAAAGACGCTAAAAGAAAAACACAAACAAGCACCCAAATATGCACTGGAGGTTTGAGAGGTTACTCCGCAGGCACGAAACCGCTATTTTCTAATTATTAATACATAACTGAAATTTCTTAGAAAGAGAGGAGTTTTGAGCCAGTTTGGACAGGTTACTTAACTTGAAAAAAGCAAGATACTTTAGTAAAGAAAGAAAGAGAGGAAGAAGGAAATATGTCATAACAACCAGGTTTATAGTATTCATATTTTGTAGACAACATTAGTTAAAGAACTAATGAGTACTGAATAAATTAACATAGTTGTAACAAATTAGCCCTTCAATTCGAAGTAAAGGCCGGCCTTTACTATGTATGTTTGCCTCTTGTAGACTCCACACATGAAAGAACTTGTCGCTAAATATGTTCCCTTTTGTGCACTAACGGTTAAAACCGATTTCGAAATAAGGAGTGACTTATCGTACGATGTCTTCTTGATATGGTTATTAAATCTAAAACAATGGTTCGAGCAGAATTATTTCTCGTATCTATGCGGTGCCCACTGTAAATCACAAAGTCCATTATGTTTTCTTTACGCCTCACAAGCAAAGTGCCTCGCAAACCTTAATCGAGAGCTTGTTCCATGAAAGTTTAAGGTTCTCCGTGATATAGCCATGTCCCTTTTTTTAACTGAATTTTAACCATGGCGGTATAATAACTGTAGGTCACGTAAGCTTTCTCTTTTGTAAAATCAGATGATCAGTATATCGTTGGAAATGTTGTCCCCTGAGCAGACTTATCTGTAGAAACGCCTTTATATAAATATTTGTCAGTTTCACGTGGGAGATAACCTCCTTAGTGACAAAGATAGTCACTTAAGGCCCGTCATTTACATGAGGCCTAACCCAAACCACAGTTTTACGCAATTAGTGAGCTTCAGGCTTTCTCTAAAGGAACGTTGATTTAATTGACTAAGCGTTAGCCCTGACTAAGGATAACGCTCGAAACGTTAGCCCTTCGTCTCAACTAATCAGGGCTCGTAAAGTTTATTTTTGCGCACGAAACGTAAGAAATAACTTGTAATACCCCCAGTGACGCAGCACCACAGTTTCTTTAGAAACTTCCTCCCTTCCTTTAACTGTAGAAAAATGTGTTTATAAGTATTTGTCAGTTGCAAGTTAGAGATGACCTCTTTCGTGACAAAGCTCAATTACCATTAAATAATCGTCAAACAAAAAAGATTTGTCTGTCGTATCAATTTTCCTTTATGTTGGTATCAGTTAATTACTTGACTATGTTATTCAAAACTAGTTTCAACCTTTATTGTAGTCAGTTTGAACTCCTCGACAAATGCTCTCTTTATTGTGTGAAGGTTAATTGCGGTTCAAAGCTGTTCACGAATTTGGTGCGAAATTTTATTTGTTTTATCGAAGTTTGGTTCGAGTCAGTAGTATGCGTGGAAGGATTCGAGTCGAATCCTTCCACGCATTTTTCGTGTTTTTCCGAAGGAAATGCCTTTGAAATAATTTAGTGACAATTTATATGGAAAAAATCTTAGAAATATCTTGAAGCTTTCCAATCATTCAGGTAATTTCTGCCTTAATTAGCAACAGGGTTAATACTCATCACATAGCAACAGTTACAGTTACGATCCTAACTGGTGGAAAGGTTTGCTCTGGGACTGACAGAGCATTGCAACTGTAATCATCGTCTGCTGTTTCCAAGTGTCGGCGAATATTTAGAAGAAAGAAGATTTAAAAATTAAATTTTGGATCTAAGTTCAACGTGCTTGCATAGAAGATATGTTGAAAATTTTCAGTGTTCTAGAATACTTGCATGAGAGATTCTGCACAATGAATCCAGTTTTGCCCACACGATAAGTTAGATGGATTTGACGTTTATTCATGGTTCAGTTGAGCTTTCAACTGTGAATTACGCATTCATTAGCTTCTTTCTTTTGTTGGTTTTTGTTTTGTGTATTCCGCATTGCGGTGTCGTTTGTTAAGTTCTTAAATAGACACAGGCAAGGGAGAGGTCTTTCAGTTGAGCACCAGTCTCAGAGAGGTAACACGATCATAAAAACATGTATTTCCTTGGAGTTTTATACACAATTTTCATTGTCTTATCTGTTCTATTTCCAGAGAGTACAAAGCCATCTGGTCTCGCGATCACATTATCTACACGCAAGTCTCATTGTGGACCGATTGTGGAGTAAAACTAAGCTTTGGTAAGTAAGAAGGCCAGTGTTAATTTCGTTCTGTGCTCTAGTCGGAAATTTTATTCCAAGCGGTGTTTTCCAACAAAAAATGCAAAGCTGTCCCACGAGTCAGTCAATTCCTAAATTCAACAAAAGAAATTTTGTCAATGTTAAAGTGATGCTTTCCTCGCCAATCAAAGTTTACGAATATTACTCAGAACAGTCAATCTTAGTTGCGATTTCGTATTTCAGAGCTCAGCAAATTCCATCTTGAACGAAAGAAGTAAGACCCTTCATTATTCTATTAATGGAGCTTTTCAAGTTTATCTTGACGTTTGACGAAGCGCAATTATATGCGATCAGGTTGATTTTGCTTCAAACTCGTTTCAAGCTTTAATGTGCATTTTCCCTTTATCGGAGCCAGATACAATCCACTCTACCAGATTTAGTTAAGAATGGCAACTTAATTGTTTTTTATTGAATTGATCTGAAATGAACTTCAGCTAGCAAGCCACCGCTTGTATTCAATCAAGTTTAAGCCTGAATGTTTCGGTCCAATTCTTCAGGCCACACCTCAGCACATGAAGCAGGTTTTTTATTTTCTCGGTTGCATTTTTTAATCAAGTCTTGCTGACTTCTCGAGAAACATTTTGTCGCTTAATTATTTGCATTTCATTGGTTCGGGTTGAAAATTGTCTTTCCGTCCCTCGCAATACCACTATCAATACTCTGCAAGCGCCTTCCACGCTTAGCTGAAGGTTCGATCGTAAATATCTTATTACAGCTTTTCATTACCACCTTTAACATATTCAAGCCAAAAATTAGTGTGCTATTTAACGAAAAGGGCACCTCAAAGGGAAAAAGGACCGGGTTCTAAACCAGCTGAATCTTTCTGTTGAAGTCAAAGCCTATTGTATTCTTGTGACATACATCTGAGAGAATTCATGGCTTTTGCCTGTGGCAAAGTGTTATTTGTACGACACTTCAAACAAACAAACAACAAAACAGTTCTAGAATTCACGACGTGATATTGGCAGTTTCGTTCTCGTCAGATGATCACATATAATGCTATTGTGAAATAGTTTCATTCTTAACATAGTTGTAATTCGTTATAAAGGAATTTTTTTAATTAAAACAAGAATCGTGCTCTTAAGAAGTAAGAGTATTATAAATAGAAATCATGTATGCTATGCTTTGAACGATAAAATTTATGTTGTTTTTTTTTTTCGCTATTCTTACAAGCCTCTTTTAAGTTTTTCTTTAAATTTTTATTGCTGATGTTTATCTTCATCTTGCACTTCGTTTTTTATGGGTTATCTTTGTCTGCTTGATATGTTTCTTCTTTGTTCGGCTTTTTTTCTCGTTTCTCTTCCTCTTCAGTTTTTTTCTTCATTCTACTTCACAGCATATCCTTTTACAATAAATCGTTTTCTATTTGCTTGTGATTTTCAATAACGTTTTACAATTCTTATTTGTTGCCACAGATTCACGAGAACCTAATTATCAATATGAAGTGGGCAATTCTTTTGGCGACATTTATGCTTGTTTTACATCAAACTAAAGGTAACGCATCATCTTGATTTTAAAATTATGATAATTATTATTTTTTCCCGAGGACTCCATGAATTGACGATTATATTCAAGCATTACGAAAAGCAATTATGAAATAAGAGAATTTAAATCCGCAATTCCTTGCCGCTTTAATTTGGATTCGTTAACATTTTATCATTGTAAAGTGTCTCTTTTCTCACAGCTACAACTGAATGGAATGTATTATTACCTATCATAAATGAAAGAGTTGGACTCAAAAATTGTTTTTTCACTCCTTCTCAGGTCAGACGACGGCCTCAGTGACTTGTAACCCCGACCACACTGTGAGTATAACGATCTCAGACGTAGATGATGCAAAATTTTGGAACTCAGCAGAGTGGTCCACAGACCCAGGCAATGCAGCATGTGAACCAACAATTGATGGTGTTACTGACACAGTTACCTATACCAACCTACCCCTCCCTGACTGTACTTTTCAGTCAAACCAGAAAGATGAGGAAGTTCAATACATCCTCAAAATCAGCGCTCAAAAGAGTTCAGGTGATGTAGGGGTTACAGGGCAGTTGCGCACTTACGACCACCTGTACTACGTCACGTGTAACTATGATAATACAGGCAGAGCTCGGGGGAGTTTTGTGCCGATCAAGAATCGAGCGGATAACGACACAGGTATGCAGCTCTGGTTAAGATAATCTACATAAGTAACCTTAGTTTGAATTCCTGCGAAGTGGAGATTTCTGAAAAGTGTCTATCAAACCCTTGCCATCGAATGTATTGACCAGCCTTCCTTCAGTGGCTGATGGAAAAAAAGGAACACACAATCCTTTTGTCAAGATATGGTGGATTTGATTTCAATTTGATATAAAAAATAAAGTGGCGGAGAAACATTTATAAGAGCCTGGCATGATTTTGAAAGACAGCCATGCATGTGTACAAAATGCATTCGTATTTTATTTTGTGATTGAGAAAGTTTCACTTCTCATCCTTATCAGTACAGGACTATTAGAGCATGCCGGTCCAAAAAGAGTTGTTATCATCAACTAACCTGAAAAAATGTAGAATTTTTAAAATGTCTTTTTTCGTCGATCAGTAACCTGTAACTGCTACTGGAGTAGCAGTTAGAGATCATTGAAAAGACATCTCAACTACACTTCATTCAGTTTGCTAATCTAGCCTTGTATTTGTCAAAACGAGCAAAATCCTTAAATAATGCAAATGTGTTTGATTAAGTTTTTTCAGATTTCTTTTGTTTGTTTAACTTTTCCTTACTAGCTTTTGTGGTCTCTTGTGTCATTTTTAGAGGACGGAAGTTTCACATTTTCTCTCATGGCGTATGAAGACAGCGGATTTTCTACGCTGGTTAACAACCCTGTTGATCTGGATGTAAATATTTTCTTCATGGGTAAAGTCGAGACTCAAAGCGGTGCCCCAAACCTTGACTTGTACCCAGTGCGATGCTATTCATCAGAAAGCAATGATCCATATGATACTGGTGCTAACTTTACTCTTATTATCAACGGGTAAGAATTTCTGTGATAAAAATTTGCCCGCTAATCATGACTAATATGTAATTACGACAACAATGATGATAACAATCAATATATCAATATTTACTTTATGACATTTTAGACAGAGCAGGACCCACCTCATCGAGGAGCTCCTCAGTGAGGTCCAGCACCCCAAAAAAAGGAAATGTAAAAATATCTGACGAGGCTAAAAATGAAAATCACTTAGAAAGATGTAGATTTGAATATGGTGACAGATATGCATACAAATGTTCAAATGAACCACATCCAAAATTCTAGTTTTAACCGTGATTTATGAGGTAATCGCATCATAACTCAGTTTATTCCAACAGCCAATACTTCTGTGTGTGAACCGTCGTTTAACCCAGTTTGTGTTGAACTGTTTGGTATCATTATTACTACCTGTGGTTCTTAATCTAAGTAAAAGATGGCCGCCAGTGCAGACCCCAGATGGACTGAAACTTAACTTAATTAAAAAGAGTTCTGTCAGAGTTTCTGTTAGACATCGTCAGACTACTGATTAAATACGAGCGAGTAACACTGTTTATTTCTATAAGAAATAAATTTCCCCTTAAATAATGAAACCCATTCACAATTTTTTTCCAGTTTCTTTCTAATAAATGGTAAGCATCCCAAAACCCCTATTAGAACCCACCATTGAAGTTTACGTAAGAAGCTATTCTTGTATGCTGTGTGCCTGGTATCAACTCAGTGACGAACATACAGTCGATGCTATGGATTTACCTGGATCTTGTCCGTTTAGGATAAAATTTGTTAACTCAAAGAGTAAGAGTAATTTTGCTTAGGTTACTTAATTATATCATTTTTTATCATTTCTTCATAGTTGTGGCAGCGATGATGTCAGCCAAGACCTCGACGACACATTGTCATACACTTGTGCAGACAACAGCGTAAATGAAGCATTCTCACTCAGAACTTATCGGTATTTTGGGGCAGATGAAGGAGCTGAAGTTTACATCCACTGTGATTTCAGAGTTTGCTTGGCAGATGTACCCGATACCAAATGTGAATGTCCTGATGATCCCAACACTTGCGTAGGTGATCCTGTTACTGATATTGCACCGGTGAGGCGTAGACGTCGTTCAATCTCCGATTCCGTGGATGAGTCACAGCTTTATCATGTTGTCTACGGTCCGTTCACCTTTAAGCAAGAAGAACTGAACAAAGATGAAGGTAAATGATAATTCACAGGGCCTTTAGCCATAGGACAGGAATTATGTTGGGTGCTTTCCACGTTCTCTGCTAACCAAGACTGGTTTTCCATGATAACTGACCAAGTCAGAAAAAAAAGGCCGCACGGGGCAACTTGTAGAACCTAGAAGATAACTTGAACATGTCAAATATGATAGAAACGGAACGAAATGTAATATCATATATCGTAATGATGAATATAGAAAATTAACAAAGGCTGGATAAGAACCTCTGGAAAGACTATAGAAATTTTCCTTTCATGTATTCCTAGTATCTCTGCCTTTATTGATAGACACGAAAGGTTTAACATTTTAATCTACTTACGCCCTCGCTAGTGTAACTCAATGATTAAACCTGGAATCTATTTGCTTCATTCCAGTTGCACCTAAAGACCAAAAGGAGACCCGCCAGCCTTCCCAGACATTACCGATTGTTGGGGCAGTATGTGGTGTTGTGGCTGTAGCTGTCATCTGCGCCACTGTTTACCTTGTCATTCACTATCGCAGCAAGCGCACGCAAAGTGGAGATCTGCACGTGGTCACCTAAACTCCAAACACAAATAAGTTGTGTTGTGGAAACGCGCAAATATTACGTTTTTTTAATCCAATATCCATTTGAATGGTGTGACATATGAAGCAACTCGATAGGATTAAGTTGAGTTGTGGATGTTGATTAAGACATAAATCTTTTTCTTTTTTTCAAACGAATAAATGATTAATCGGCTTTTTTCTTCAGATGATGGTAGGAATCAGAAGTAGTTTTCAAAGCTAATGGAATTAATGTCTTGAATTCAGTGTCAAGGTTGATTTCATTAGCTATAACAGTGAAGTCATTGTACTCCTATATCTGCTTGTCACTCTTATGTGCGCGATCCAGATTAACAACCAGTTTTAATCTCTCATTGTTTCAACACCTTATAAACTTGCACACAAGCCTTATAGACAAAGTTAAGTTCACACACAATTTCAGGTATTGTGAGGAACTTTATTAGGTATGACAAACTTTACACTCTATATGCAGAACAGCAGCGGCAGCGTTGTGATTTTGCTAACACCTATATGAAATCTAACCGAATGCTAGCCATAGTAAGTATACCCAAGTCGCATGCGGGCCTAGTTGCTTTCCCGTTAAACTGGCATAAGCCTTGTCAGTGAGGCATTAGTACCAGTCTAATTTTTACAATCTTTTAGAAATTTTGAGCAGCATCTTAATAAAATATAGGCACCGTCATGAATTTATTATAAAACCTTTGTGTTTTTTTCTTTTTGTGAATATTTGTGTTATAAAGGACAGGATGGCCATCTTTTTTCTCTATCTATTTAATGGAGGGAATTTTCACTTCACTCTCTTGGCATACGCAGACCCATTACTTTCTCCAGTGATTCCCAACGCTGTAAAGCTGGATACTGAAATTGTATTCAACGCGGAGGCTTCGATCCAGAGCCCCACATCCAGTTCACCCCTCTACCCTCTGACTGGCTCGTATTTCATAACCAAGCGAGTTGGATTCGTAAGATTTTTCTTAAGTTAAATCGATTTCTTTGTTATAGCCACCTCAAATGTTCTCTCCCAACTCATTTAGTGTCAAGCTTGTTTTCCGATCACAATTCAGATCAGTTAAGTCGTACTACCCAAACACAGGGGTCAAGAATTGGGCATGTGCAGGGGATTAATTTCGGCTGGCTACGCGCCAATTTCCCGCGTAAGGTTTTTAGGGAGACCTCACAAAACAATTGCTGTCCCGCAAAATGTGCAGAAGAAATTGTAATTTTATCAGTATGTAAAAGTATGTAAAAAAGGAAAACTCGAGTCTTTTCAGGCAGAGAGCTTATACGGGATCCTGCGGATTACCATTTTGTTTTAAAATTGTCCCTGCACAAAATAATGCCGGAATCAAATGGCTTCAACGTTTCGCTTTTTCAGCGCAATAATGCGGTAAAGAATTTGATGTGTATGGCATCACAAAGTATTGAAAATTTTTGATGATATGAAAATATTGTTTTTCGCGTTCTATTTTTCAATCAATTTTGCCCTTCAAAGAAAGCCAAGACATTTGATTGACATCCATTTTTTGTCAGCCAATTAGAATGTTCCGTTTGCAATTTGCATGGACAAAACTCCAACCCCCTCTCTCCTTCTTTCCCCAATGGCCAAACGCTCAACGTTTCCAAGACATTGTCTCACAGAGAACATGGCATGAGGTACCTACATCAAAGATGACGCAGCTCAGAAAATTCAAGCGTGAATTTCATATAGAACAGATTTTCAAAATAGAGTCCAAAACAGTGCACGAGTAATTGAAGCGCAATGACTTCCCTTGAAAGGTCGTAACTGACTGGAAGTTTATTATTTATTTCGCTTAATTGATGAAGGAAATATATGTAGACAAAAACTGAAAAACAATTTAAGAGGAGAATTAATCATTAGTAAGGTGCGAATTGTCTAAACTGTATATACTGAAAATTTCAAGGTCATGTCGCCTAGAAAATCGAAAAAATGATAGGCGTAAGGCTACTTTAAAATGCAGGAGCTACAGGTCAAAATATTCTCGCAGTTTAAGGCGTTTTTTGATTCCCCCCTCCGTTGCTTCTGTGCATGTTTCGGTGTGATATTTCGGTTAAATCGTCACAGTCGCAACTACTTAACTGTATGAGATAAATTCTTACTGTGCTTCATGTGCTTCATCAAAGAGGTTCTGATCGAAATTCGGTGTCCGTGAAGCGTAGTTGTTTGTGAAGTTGCGTACTTGCATATAACTGTTGCCTAGCGACGAAGGTTCGAGAGAGGACCTAAGAAGTCTTGATTCGCTTTGATAGTGGCAAGATATTTTAAAAACGTGGGATCAACGAGGCGGAACGCATCAAAGCGTAGCGGTTACAGGCTTAAGCAAAGAAACACAGCGGAAGTTTGCAGGCGACCTTGTTATAATCAACGAAATTACAATTTCTTCGAAAAATTTAGCATCTCACACGGACAACGGTGAGTGCCTGATTCATGTTTTAGACCGTCCATAAAATAATTATTTAAACATATCGAAAACAAAATTTGCCTTCGTCAAATAGAACCGCCTTGCGTGCAAACAATACGTTCTCAACAAATTTTTTCCTCTCGTTTCTTTTACTTTCGTTGCCAAGTTTTCGATAGCCAGAGCACGAGAAGGTGTGGATTATGAGTCGTTTTACAGTCAGCAGCCTTGCATCTTTATGATTAACGAAAATGTAATTCATCATCTCCATTTGTCATGCGAAATACCATGGATGTTTAATTTCCATTCAAACAAGCTATCGGCAAGAGAGCATCAATTGATGCTGTGTTTAAAGATACTTTTAACGCAATATCATGAATAGAAAAACCAATAAAGACAACTGCAAATGAATTGTAGCGATTTCTAGCGTTCCATTTGTTCTATTTGCAGTCATAAATTCTTGAAACTTGATTACAAACAAGTGAAATGTCCTTTCGTGTTTATAACAATTAATTACGTTCCAATGATTGATTTTTTCGCTCTCGAATGAAAATGATCCAATCGAAAAACAATTTATAAACTGGTAATTGCACAGTGTACCGATTCGAACCAAACGTAAATATTGTATTTCTGTACAAAGTTTAGATCAAGTTGAAGTAAAACAGATTAGATTTCACATCACTTGCACAATGCACAACAAATACTTAGACTTTAAAAGAACGCTGCATCCAGTATTTTCTTTACACAGATATGTCGAGAGAATACAAAACATGTCATATCTTTGATTATTATCACTATTTCGGGCATTTTGGTGCATTTGCAGGATGAAATAGAGATGTTGACGTTTAAATGTTCGTAAATTGCTCGGCTAGAATGACTCTCAGTCGGGGCCAAATTTTAGAAGTTCACAATACACTGGCCATGTTTTAGCACACACACAAAGAACGAAGAAATCCAGAATTTTCTTTATTTGACGAACAGAATCCTTTTAAAAAGAGTGTGACGTATTTTGCCTTAAAATGTGGCGGAAAGGAACTCCATCCAAATCGAGAACAAATAAAAAATTCAATTCAATACATTTTCACGATATTTCAGTGGTCAAATAACGACAAATAACTTTGGATTCAAGAATTTCTTTCGTTCTTATTTAGACACTTTGACTGACATTCCTTAACTTTAACTTCATAAGTTGGGTAAAACCACCAAGAGAAGGCTGAACTCTACGTCAAAATGGCTTGGCAGTGGATTTTACTCTCTCTCGTGACGTTCGCTTTACTGTTTGACGTCAGAGTTAAAGGTGAGACAGACTTCAGTTTTTTCCACAAATATAATCCCTTATGAAATATTTCATTCACAATTAAAGAATAATTAAGTGAGACCTGACTCTGAGTCAACTAGACCATTACCCGGGGTCTTGTTCGGTCTATTCCGCGATTCTTGACAAGCCTAAAACTGGCAAACACTTACTGAGAATTGTTTAGTCGACACGTTTACAAAACTTGCACCCAACGAAATAGAGATACGCTACTACCGGCTGAGGTGCTCTGTACCACAACCACCTAAACTTTACGGACTACCGAAACTACATAAACCTGGGATACCTATGCGACCTATAGTCTCATTCTGTGGGTCCCCGACGTACCAACTGTCGAAATACCTTACGACGATACTGCAACCACTGACTGACAAATCGAGACGTAAACTACAATCAACTGAGAACTTTATTGACACTATCAAAGACGTACAGATACCTGACGACTACAAACTTATGTCTTTTGATGTGAAATCACTGTTCACCAGTATTCCACTTCAATTGGCTCTACAGTGTACTGAAACCGCCATCCAACAGTCTACTGATGCACTACCCAGAAGACATTATGGACCTACTTAACCTCTGCCTTACATCGACTTACTTTCAGTACAACGGGAAACACTACAAGCAGTTGCACGGAACAGCTACGGGGTCGCCGGTCTCCGTTGTTGTCGCAGAAATTGTGATGCAAAACATCGAGGAACGCGCCCTTGCAACTTGCCGACAAACCATACCACTTTGGTTACGCTACGTTGACGACACATTTACCGCCGTACACAAAGACGAAATTGACGTTTTTCACAATCACCTTAACGAACAAAACACCGACATTCAGTTTACCAGGGAGATCGAAGAAGACGGCAAGCTTCCTTTTCTCGACTGTTTGACGAACTACGAACAACAATATACAGAAAACCGACGCATACCGACAGACTTCTTGACGAATCATCCTACAACCCGACTTCCCACAAAGCTACGACCATCAAGACATTGACAAGACGAGCGCAACTTGTTTGCAACACACCGGACAGTTTATCTGACGAAAACAAATACCTTGACCGTGTTTTTGACAAAAACAACTACAACACTGACTTCATTAGACGAAACACTCACAGGGTGACCGACGCTACAGAAACTAACAGGGACTCCACATCTATCACGACTACAGCTGCTATACCCTACATCAAAGGCACTTCTGAGGCTATCGCGCGGATCCTACAACCTTACAACATTCGCGTAGCTCACAGGCCTATTACTACTTTGCGACATTTGCTGACCAACGTTAAAGACAAAGACGAACCCAACAAAAGATAGGGGGCGATTTATAAGATCGAATGCTCCGACTGCCAGGCCTCCTACATTGGTGAGACTGGTAGAAACCTTAACCAGCGACTAACTGAACACAAACGAGCAACTAGAAATGGCGATGTAAACAATCACATTTCTGAACATCACCGACAAACTAATCACAGAATCGACTGGGACTCTGCTAAATGCTTAACCTACAGTACAAACTATTTTCAACGACTGACTCTGGCTTGGAACATAACTTAG